TTCTGTTTTATCAGATTTTTTTAAGCTGTATAGAGGCAGACTAAACACCAATTAAAAAAATTTGAATTTGAAATCTTCAAAAATAATCCGTGAAAAGTGAAAACGCGTCGTAGGCGAGTAAAATACGAAAACGAACGAATTGCAGCGGAAAAGCTAACTGGCAGGCCATGGCTACCAACCAAACAGCTGGAGGTATCGAGAGGCACGACCAAAACACACACACATACACACGGAAATACTGAAACAATTTTAGAACGTGCAAGTGAAAAATCTAACGGAAAATGTGCGGAGTAAGTCGATTCACACATAAACATATGCAAATACGTACATATGTATATGCCTGCATATGTGTAGGTGAGTTGTTGACGTGACGCGTGATGTCCCGATGACTAGGTTGGTCAGTGGGTTGCTGGTCAATTGGTTAAGAATTTGTTTATTTTGCTATTGAGCCCCATTTGTCAGCTGATGGACCCCGCGGTCAGGCTATAGGTATGTGTGTATGAATATAGCTATGTTTGTATGCGAAAGCCTGCGCAGTCAAAGACATGTTTGTATGTACATAAGTGTGTAGCGAAAGCTAAACTTTGCACATGTGTGGGCGCGGTTGTGCGTGAGTGCAAATAATTCAACGATACGCAACAAAGCTTTGATAAGTCCATTTAATTAACAAATGCCGGTTGATAAAAGGTGTGTGCTCCCCCACCGAAAGGGGGATTAGCGGTCAATGAGATTTTTACTTAACTTTCTATCGATCAATAGCCAACGTATCGTGCCATGTCACGCAAAGAAACAAAAACAGAAAATCAATTATAATAAAATATTAAAAAATTAAAAATAAAAATTTTTTAAATGTGTACAAACAAATTAATGAAGTGTTAGTGGATATAAAATTGCAAAATATAAGTGTAAGCTATAAATATTCTTGATCTGGAGATTCTCATCTATCCGATCATACCCATTTTACCCATAAGTTTTCCCAAAATCTGTAGAAAACATATATGATATTCTACAATCACTAAACTAATGTATAATAATAATAATGTGGTTAATATTTTGAATATATAAATTTAAAAACCTACAGAAAATTAATAATTTATATTTGATGATTTGTTTACCTTAAACATATATCTCTTATCATTTTCGTCATTCAGTTGTTGTTCGCTAATAGAAATTTCTGCATCCAGATTTTTTAATAAAGATTGTAAGTCTCTTATTGTAAATGCGTTCGTTTCTAATACAGGAGATGGTGGTGAACTTATTTTATACTCAGCTGTTCCACGGGTGTTCATATCAAGTTGAAGAGTATTTGTGCATTCTGGATCGCTGGTTTTTAAAAGCTTTTGTAACGTCCCGGAAACAATAGCTTGGTTTGTTCGCAACATTTTTAACTTATGTGTAATAGCAATTCGACGGTCAGGTACAACAGCCATTAAATTGAATCGTATATCTTGTTCACCCGTAGCAATTCCTAATCGATCAGCCATAATACAACGAAATTTATCTGTCCAGTCTTCGTGATCTTTCCAAGGCCCATGATCTATTGGATAAGGTTTTAATCCATCTAATTCAAATAGGTGCCCACTAATTGGAACATAACTAACGAAGTGAAATGCTTCTCCTGTACAACGTCCGGTAGATACTCCGGAAATAGAACTTTTGTCCAAGCGCCGTTTTGCTTGAGGCATTGCATGTGAATTATGAGCACAAGCTAATTCAGGTGTATTGCCAATAGCCAATCCTTTGTTTTCTGGACACATTCCTTTTGTATGAGCTTTTAAACGACTTAATGTTGTTCCAAGGTTTAAGTCGTCGTCATTGCTATTTAAAAGGACAGATAATAAGGCATGCGTTGCACAACTGTTTGGGACTACTTGTTGTGCAAAAAATATACTTGAAACTTCTTCTTCATCTTTCACAAATATCTCAGCAGTGGCCTCAACAATTTTTCTTCTAGCTCGTCTTTCTTCTATCCATCGAAATAGAAAAATAAATCCATACACCGGGCCATCGATTGGTTTATGTAGATCATAAACCTCTTCTACTTGCACATTTTTTACTCCGAAATCTTCCAAAAGAAGGGTAAATAATCCTGGGTCAGACTCTAATTCCAGCCAACCATCTGTTAATCGATTTATATCTACCGGCATTGTAGAGATTAAGAAGTCGGCACCAATTATTGAATGAACAAATCTCAAATACACAAATTTATGTATATTCTATACTGCTATAGAACATTATTGTTATTAAAACATTTTTTTATACAGTTTTTGTAATCACTTGATCGAGTACGAAGGATATATTTTGCTACCAATACTTTATTAATATATAACGGGGCATCTCGACAGGTGATATAAACTTAAAAAATTTATATTACTGGCAATATTGCCAATTTTGTCTGCCCATTGCTAACGGGGCATCTCGACAGGATAGAATTTATAGAATCCTACCTGTATTGCCGTGCCGATTGCTTGTGGACACTCCACATTGCTCATAGCTTGCTATATATAGAATACTATCTAGTTTGCCATATATCGTAAGCTATGAGCTGTCACTTCAACCGTCTGGCTGCCCAGTTTTTATTTCTATGAAAATTTCGAAGAGGCAACATCTCCCATTTGCACATATGCCAACGCCATTTTCATTTCAACAATTACTATTATATTAAATTGTAAAGACCAGCTGATGGCCTCGATCTAGTGCTGCTAATTTTGCTATTTTCTGTATATTTATATGCTTAAAATAAATATGAATCTGAATCTGAATCATTTCAACAATATGAAATTTAGAAGAACGAGTATTAACACGGTTGTGTTATATTATAAAAATAAAGTACATTTTCAAACAACATTATTCCAAAAAAATTAATATTTAGTTTAATATTATTAATTTATGCAAATTGGTCTTAAATTTAATAATACAAGCATAAATCAAAATATCATTGCTCATTTTANAAAAATTAATTAAAAAAATAGAAACAAAAAATGTTAACTTCGGTTCATAGAGGCTATAATATCATTAACAAATACAAACAATTCCTTACAAGTACTTGATTTTGATTTGTGAGCTTGTATGACAGCTATATGCTATAGTGACTCGATCTGAACAATTTCTTCTGAGATTGCAAGGTTGCTTTGAATATAAATCCGTACCAAATATCTTGAAGATAGCTCATCAAATGAAAAGTTTTCCATACAAGCACTTAAATCGATTCGTTCAAGCTATATGATATAGTGATCCGATATCGGCAGTTCCGACGAATGAGCAGGTTCTAGGTGAAAAATGGACGGCTCCAAAATTTCAAGTCCATATCTCAACAGCTATGGAACTAGTTCGCATATACAGCCGGACATGGCTAAAACGACTGAGCTCATTACGTCAATATATACATACATATATTTTATAGAGCCCCCGTAATTTTCTTCTGAGTGCTAATAACCTCGTAACAAACTTAATTGCCAATATTTATGTCATTTTTCTCTTTACACATCAAATTTCTCACGGGTATTTTTGTCTGTCAATTTTTAATAGTATTAAATTCTTTAAAAATACAAAAATATCTCATATTGGTTTTGACTGTCACTTAGGGAATTTTATTAGGTATATAAATTTAATAGATGGATTTTCGCTACTTAAAATCCATTCAAAAATAAACTCAACTAAATCAGTCACTTATACATGTAGGTATATGCAGACGATATAATTAGTATATATGTATGTATGTACTAAGGTATATAATATCAAAATAAAACTGCGAAGAGAATTTAAAAATAAAGGAGACCAGCGTAACCAATACAAATGTATCAACCCGCTTTAGTGGCAGAAAGTAAAGAGCTGCATAATCGCGTGCTGGACATTGATGGGTTTCGGATCGTTAGCTGGCACTCAATGTGTTGGCTCTGAAAGCCCTATAAATTACGTAGTGATGCGCAGTAATAAACTTAAACCCACATACACACATACAAATGTGTATATCGTATCGTATATAGTATGGAAGGCAGCCATTTCTATATGCATATGTCTGTATGTTTTTGGTGGGTGTTACATGCGCAAGCCTCGTCCACACCAACGGCTGTTAGCAATTTGATTAAACGCGCACTGCTAACTGTAAACGTATGGTTTTATTCATAATTTTCAATGTCAAACAAATGTTGTGAAATGAAAAGCGAGTCTGACAGCAGTGAGAAATTATTGTTTTCCTTTAACACATATTTGTTTGTATGTATGTATTTAGTATAGGCACCCACATACATATGTATTATATATAATTGAATAGATTGTAATAAAATTAAGATATTATAGCAGAAAACATTATTCAAAATTGTGCATGAACTAGTTATGTAACTAGTACGAATTGGACCACTTGTCTTAACACTTTAAATTTTTAAAAATATTTCTCAGACAGTAATTTTTAATACATATTACAAGGCAATACGTCAAACTGAATTCAAAACAGTCTCAGTGAAAGGAAAAACTCGCAATTTGATACTGGAGCACACATAAATCTATAATATTTGTATATTATTGAATGAAAAGTATTAAATTAAACGCAATATGATAAAAAACATTTTTTAAAATTTTAGAATTACTAGTTATGTAACTGGTACGAATTCGACCACTTGTCTTAACATTTTAAATTTTCAAAAATATTTCTCAGACAGTAATTTTTAATACTTATTACATGCGAATACGTGAAATTGAATTTTAAGAAATTCTCAGTGTGTGAAGAAACTCTTAATTTGCCCACTGTGGTAGGTTTGTCACAAATATGTATTAAATTATGAGCGTAAATTTACTGATTTATTAAAATGTATGACTATAATTTAATGCAACCGCGTGAGTTGGAATTTATCCAAGTTCATCATCAACAAGTGGAAATGTAAGCACTAAATTTATGGACTCAATACAATATTAAGCATTAGAGTGGGTCGACAATTTAGAGGAACTTAAAACTACTTTAAAAAAATATAAAAATATTTATAGTGTTATTTTCAATAATATTTTAAAAGGCCCAAATATTTATTGAGGATTGAAGACTTTTTGCAAAAAAATTTTCACTTTTCTAAAAAACGATTTTTTAATTTTGAAGTTTTCTAATATTTTTAAATTTCAATACAAAATATCGATTTAT